GGCACATGGAGTTCCTGGGGACTGGCAGGTGGTTCTGCTCAGTAATGAGGTCAGGAAGTGGAGCAGCTACTTACTCCCTTTCAGGCTAGCCATCTACCAGTACATCTAGTTTTTTAGTCATGAACGTGTGGCCACACCTGAGGACTGCCACTTACTTACTGGTTCTAGCATGCAAGTGGGAGCCCTGGTCTCAATGAGATAGATAGCAGTGACGGCAGTGATGGCAGGGGAAAAGGTGAGTGAGGAAGGAGCGGAAGCCAGCAGAGGTGTAAGTTCGGGAGCTGTGCTCTGGGCAGGTTGACGTTGCCTGTTCTGTTCTGAGAAAGAGGAGATGGAACCTGGAAGAGACAGGTTTGAGGAGAGAAGAGGAAGTTTGAAACAACTGCTGCTCATTTATGCCTTTGTGTCCTTGTGTATCCAATTTTCCCTAATTAAAATGATTTCATTGTAATTCTCCTTCTGCTCCTTGCTACCTGATCTGGAATCTGTTTTCATTCCCTCGTATCAAATCTCCACTGCACAGGCTTCCTTGACCACTGGGACGAGCTCCCCTTTCTCTGGATTCTTACTGCCGGTCGTCATACACAGCTTTGCTTTGTGTTGTGTCATGTCTACGGTGCCATCAATCATGATGCTAAAATAAGAAAACTAAAAAATATAAAGGGTTTTAGAATACCTGGACCTATGAATACCTTGGATATTCAACCTCTAAGCAACTTTCAACCTTTCCTCAACTGTATGATCAATCGCTGTCTTGAAAAGTTATGACAATTCAGAGAATGCATATAAAGTGCTTAGCATTGTGCTGGGTGCATCATGGGTATTTAATTAGTGGTAGCTTTTGGTTTTATCACTATAATAAGTAGTATACTCTTAGTAATTACTCTCAATTGAGGTTGATCCAGTGCCCAAGGTCTCTGTACACTGTAATCCTAGACCAAGGTGTCCATCAGTAGGAAGTTCCTTTCCATGGCCCCCTTGATGCCTCAGTGACCATATCACCTCCTGGTCCTGGAAGGACATCATGGTCCATTCTGGTTTTAGACTAATGGTTCTAAAGTCTGAGATGCTGAATGGAAGCTCCATGAGGGCAGGGATGGAGCCTACCTATAGATAGGGTCCAGCACAGTGAGAAACATAGAGGGGGTACTCAATGCATACTTATTCATTCAATAAGTAAAAAAATGAAATGAATGAATGGATGAATGAATGAAAGAGGACTTACCTTTGGGAAAAAGCAGTTCCTTTTCCCTTTATTTCCACTCGGGTTACTGAAACATCCCTGCCCTCACAAAATTTAGCGCTTGTGTGCTTAAATCTTTATGCAACTTAACTCCTCATTTATTTTTTTTTCGTCACTTTAGTTCTGACAGAACAGGTAGTAAAAAGCAAAGGAAGATCTTTGGGGGAAAACAGGACTCTTAACCTTTTTGAAAAGGCTCTCCAGTATGCCAAGTGCACGTTCAGCTCCTACCTGTGCTTCGGCAGGCAACAGAGACACAAAAGCTGGGTCTGTGTTCTTGCTCCACAAAGCACCTGATTCATGAGACAGCTTTGCAGGAATTTAATTAGTGAAGGAATGTGCAAAGCTTAAGTGCTTCAGATGCCATTAACCATTGGGGAGGGAAGAAGGAGGGAGGGAAGCCTAACAGATGTTTGATTCAGCCTCGTTCCTGTGAAACAGATCGTTGCACACATCGTTTTTCTATTTGGGTAGCTCTTGGGTAAATCTTCTTAATGATATTTCATTCTTTCAGGATCCTGGCTTCACATGTGTCCAGTTTAAAGCAAAGAGAAACGCACTTTCTGCCTCATGAGGGGAAATAAGCGGATGTTTCTTTTTTAAAAAATCTGGTTATTTCAGGATTGCTTTTCTAAAGTCATTATTTCAACGCATTGAGTGACTGTTGATCCCTGAGTTGAATGAACATGAATCTTTAGTTTTAGAAAGTTAAACTGTGGTCATTTTGTGAAGGAACTGCATGTTTTGGTTTTCATGGCTGAAAGTGTTTAATAGCACTTGACTCCTTTTAAATCGATCACCATTTTGTGCACAGGAAAGTATTCTGCGAGGGTGTCAGCCTGAGTGGCCAGCCATCAGGACAGCTCCGGCCCTGGGCTGGCAGTAAGGACCTTGGCTGGCCTTAGAGGCACTGTTGCCAGCGTAGATGAGCTGGATGCTAACTAGCTGAAATGGACGGCATTTGCTGCTCTTTCAACAGAACTAACAACTGCCTTTTTACAGATAGGAACAAGCTACTAGATGTTGTCATAGAAATAAGAAATGCAAGAGGCTCGAGGCCATCTGATTTATCTTTCTACCAGCTCCTGTTTGCAGACTATTTGTCAGTGCCCATGCCAAGTTCTTCTCTGTTGTTAACATCGTAGGATACTTCAATTCGGGGTGATAGAATTAGAAAAGGAAGAAAAAAATGCATACCAACTAGACTTGCTTTAAATTCCACATGTAGGTTCCAACCGACTTTTGACTATTCTAAAGAGCAAGTTCCTAGAACTTTTCTGTGTGTGAAGGTGTTAGTGTAATGGTGCTCAGCAACTGATTGCTGGCAGGCCTAAATTACACTCTTTCAAAGCATCATACTAACCACTCGATGATGTGAGATGAAAAAAAGAAAATCAGCAAAGCAGGCTTCCTGTCTTGGTCTCCTTGATTTCTGGACCTCTCCACTCCAAACGCTTAGAAATTAACACTTAACTACCTCCAAGTTTGCTTTATACCCTTTTCTAAGTTTAACCATTCCCATACATAACAGTGAATTGTCATTAGAGTAATTGACACTATGAATAAAAAAATTTTCCAATATTTGGATGCAACACAAAATGTTTCATACAGCCAGTAATATTTCTTCCATAGCCCTTCCCTTTCAATATTTTTTAATTGCATTGAGTATTTTTAAATTTACTCATTCATTCAACCAACAACTATTTGTTGAGTGTCTACTCTCTGTCAGACTCCAGAAAGATAATGGAGAATAAGACACCATTTCTGCATTCATAGTGAAGTTGGCAAGCATTCAGAGAGAGAAAAGGAGCTGAAGCAGGGCTGGAGCTACCTGCACAGAAGTCACAGAGAGTTGTCAGGATCAGGGTCTTCACGTACAGTTGTGTTGGTTGTGCACTAACGGGGTTCCCCAGTACAGTTGTGTTGGTTGTGCACTAACGGGGCTACCCAGTACAGTTGTGTTGGTTGTGCACTAACGGGGTTACCCAGTACAGTTGTATTGGTGGTGCACTGATGGGATTGCCCAGGCAAAGGGGCCAGCAGGCTTTGCACCAGCCTGAAAATGTCTCCAATGGGAGGAAGGAAGCCTTTTCTTAAATCTCACAAAGGTATTATACAGCGAACCAGTCAGGATACAAACATCCTTTACTAACCAAAGTTTTAGGTAATTCCATTTCATATTTCTGTACTAAAATCTTTGAATCTTCAAATTTTTATATTATGCTTGCTAAGTTCAATATCCCGGAAACAAAAGAACACAAGTCTCGTAGAATTTGCAGACAGGTCTATGGAATGATTAAATTAGTACGGTAAAGAGGAAATTGGATTTGTTCCACCCTTTTAATACTGCATATGGATGAGGAGCAACACCTCTATCCCCCTCCCTCAACTAGTATCAGGAAAAGCCAGCTGGCGAGGTTACCTGGGCAATTTGCTGAGTCGTTCGAAAAGGAAACAAAGCCAAATCACATTCAAACACATTACATTTTAAATCAATATAGACAGGTTAAAAAAAAAAAACTTTAAAAAGAGCACAGCCTTTTAAGAATAAATCTTGAAGCAAACTATCTCTCAGTAGACATGTTTTTATTTCAGTGTTTCCTGAACAATTGAAGAAGAGCCAAGGTAAGGCTACCTTCCTGGAAAAAGTTTTAAATATCAACACATCAGAGTTTTGCTAGTTTTTTTTTTTCAGTGTTTTAAAATTATTTAGCATCAATCTTCTCTTTTTTATCCACAAATTTCTCTATTTTCTAGGAGATATTAGTTTGTCAGCCGTGCGTGTTTTTGGAAGGGCACCCAATAGTTAGCGAGGGATTACTGCATTCAACGCCCTAAGTGCAGATGGGCGCTGCTTGTGTCGACTGCTGTTTGTCACTCTGTCTAAATAGTCTCAATTACTTGTTGGAGTGTTATCTGGAAAGCAAATCCTGTGTCTGTGGACGTGCAAAGAAACGTTCTGGACCTACTCTGCTGAAGTAGGTGGGATCAGATTTGGACAACTGTAACCCAGTAGATGGGAACATTCCCACGGAGACCTGACACAGGCAGGTCGGGTCCTCTGCTCGCCCATGTCCCAGAGCAGTGCTGCAGCCCTGGGCAAGTGGCCGGCTGCCCTCTCAGGAGGACCAACCAGGGATGGAGTCTTGTGTCCCCTGCCTATTGTCTGGCTGGTTTTTCCTTTCTATCGCTCTTGCATCTCCCTAATTTCTATCGAATGCTTAATTCATGCTCACTGATTTCCAAAGCCAGTTAGTAGAGAAATCAAAATTCAAAACTCTTTGAAGGGAATCATGTTCTCTTTATAAAAACTATAGGGCTTTTGTGAAGGGATCATTGAGCGTGCTTTGGGGGGTTCCATCCAATCTGCTATGTTTTAAAACCATTGCCTCTGAGTAGTGAAAACAGTTTCTTTAAAACCCATTATTCTCCCTACTGGGAGTTACAGAGAAGTGTATCTTGCCCTCCTCTATCTTTTCTAGGCAGGACCCTAAACATTTTTTTTTCCTTTAGAATCATTTTATTAAATCATAAATGTACAACAGCTTCTTAACTCTACACACGCACTTAAATTTTTTTAAGGAAAAACGTTATGTCTTATTACACCATGATCCTGGCTAATAGCTTTACAAAACTTTAAGAAAAATCTTAGCAAAGGTTTCACATGTCACCTGAAACTTACGAATTTAACATTATCAAAGAAGGAATGCTTCTACACTCTTACAAAGACCACTAGAAAGAAACAACAATTAAAAAGCTAAGAAACTGTCTCAAAGGCATTTTTTTTACAATCCTTCCTCCACAGTAAGGTAATGTTATTAAATAGCATTATGGTTATGGTATGGTATTTCTGCAATACAATTTTATCCACAGGATCATAGTCATCAAAAGTAACAAAGCCAAAGCCTCTTTTCATTCCAGACTGCCTATTAGTAACTATCTCAATGGTATCGATTTTTCGATACTCCTCAAAGTAATCTCTAAGGTGATGCTCCTCAGTATCTTCCTTAATTCCACCAACAAACAGCCTCTTCACAGTTACATGAGCCCCTGGTTTTCCAGACTCCTCTCTTGCTACAGCACTTTTTGGCTCAGCCACTCTCCCATCAATCGAATGAGGTCTTGCAGCCATGGCAGCATCAACCTCAGCCATGGATGAAAAGGTTACAAAACCAGATCCTCTTGATCGTTTGCTTGCAGGATCTCTCATGGCCACACAGTCTGTAAGTTTTCCCCATTGCTCGTAGCAGTTCCTCAAAGTTTCCTCTGTGGTTTTAAAGCTTAAGCCACCAATAAAGAGTTTACAGTTCCTTTTCTCTCTCCATCACAGAGTCAGTCTCTTCAGCCTGATTTCCTGCAGCCGAGCGAGATGACAGAGATCTCCGTGGACGAACATGAGCTGGACTCGTCCTGACGCTGCAGTAAGAACTGCCACTGGTGGAGAAACAGCACCGCTAGGAGCACCTCCACCCGGGACCCGGCGCTGCTGCTACTGGAGACCCTAGAAATGTATTCATAGAAGCTCCTACTGCATTTCTGTGTAGGGGACAGGGGCCTGTCTCATTCTCCCTTAGGATTGTTAGGAATGATACTGCTCCCAGCCAGTATCATTCTGTGACCCGGACAAGTGGGCTGCTCAGCCCCAAGCCTCAGAAGGCCACGCACTTGAGTGCACCGTCCTCAAAGGAGATCCCCCTCAGGCGCAGGAAACCGGCTGGGGCGGGTAGTGCCATCTGAGTAGAGAACCAACTGCAAGGCCAGGTGGAACCCAGGGGGCCCATTTCCACTGTCCCCGTCAGGGTGCTCTCCAACTCCCAACCCCCTGTATGGGATTGAGCAGATGCCCTGAGGGGCTTCATGAGTCTCACTTATGGGGATGTCCCAGCCCATTGTCAGTGGGATTCTGGGATGGCCACCTGGCCCGCACATCACAGCCACTGGACCGTAAGGCATTTCCTTCACAGGATCATGCAAGACTGGGCCACCAGAATGGTGCTGATGTACTGATCTGGGGTGACTTTCACCGATGTCAGACCCAGGATGAGATCAGGGTTCTGAGCTCTGGATGGTCCGCTGCCCACTTTGGCCTAGAGTTGCATTTGTGGGCCCCTGTTGGCTCTCACCCATTTGTGTTCTGACCCTGGTGCCACCTCAGTCTCCCGCACCCAAGGGGAAAATGTGGCTCAGGTATCTGTTACCCTGCCTGCCCTCTCTGCTGTGGGTGCCAACAACAGTCACCCTACCCTCTTCACAGGCTCCATACCTCCCGTCAGGCAGGCCCTGGAGGGTGGCCGCCTCTGTGCTCCAAGAGCTTTGGTGATGTTGCTCCATAGTCCTAGGGGGCTCTTCTGCTTGATGCACTCTCTTGCCTCCAGTTGGTACAATGACATCTTATTCTTCAGGGCTGGTTTTAATGAGGGGCCAGCACGTCTTGCAGGAATAGAACTGCTCTCCTTGCTCAGAAGTAGCCCCTGGCCCCCCTAAGCCCCTGGCGATGGTGGACAGGGCTGCAGTCAACACAGAGAGAGACCACGCTCTAGAAATGCAGTGACTGCAGTGTAAGGAGAAATACTGCTCTACACCTACGCTGTAAAACTCCAAAAGGAAAATTTTACGTGACCAGAAAATAAATTATTGTTCACACTTTTCTGCATACTCTGGATAAGGCTTGCTTGAGCTTTTGGTCATCATCAACAAAGCACAGTAACAGCCTCCGGGAGGGCCTCTGGAGCAGCATCACGGGCTGCAGGTTGCATGACACAGCATCATGAGTACGGCTGTGACCGGCATTAAATAATTGGTGTTAGGGAACTGCAGAGGCCAACAGATATGTGTTGTTTCAATCTGAACAGCTTCTAAAGAGCTGTAACATTGTGAGTTATATCAGCATTGCTACCTTTTACTCGTGGAGAAAGACATGAAATTAGCCAAGACCAGCACATTTGACAATAAAAACATAAGGAGATGGTTCCTGGACTTGAACAGGAAAATATAGCATCTGGACACTACGAAGAATCTTCATGTGCACTGATTGGACTGTGAAGACATATGTATCTCTTCTCTGTCCATGATTTGAAATCCTCACCACTAAATTACTACATCTTTCATAGGCCTCTGAGGTTTAAAATATATTTGTATAATCAGATTGTTTATATAGACAAGGACCCCACAAAAATATTTACCTGGATCCCACATAGTCTTGGGGCAGCCCTGCCTCTAGCTCATGCAGCTGGGGCATATTTTTGACTTTAACTCTCCAAAGTTTTCTCAGTATGCTGATTCTCAGGACCCTCCCTAGGACCCACTGAAGATGGTGATGAAGCCCCTGCCCTTCCAGGCCGGCAGGTTCCCCATTCACCCTTTTTCTATCCCCAAAGAATGGACCTGCTTCCATGCTCACAGGATTTGCCGTATATGGTGCTTACATCTCATTACAGGGACTTGATTTGGGCTTTACAGATTTTTAAATTACTTAATAATTCATTCAACAAAAACATTTACTCAGTTGTTGCTATGTACCAAGAAATGCAATTGGCATAGTACTTAAAAGATGAGTAAGACTTGGACTTGGTTTGTGTCCTCTCTGAGCTCACACTGGCGGGGAGACAAGTCAATAAACAACAAACAGGAGCTACCTACAGACAGGTGCAGAATAGAGACTGAGTCCAGAGAGAAGGCTGCAGGGCTCTGCACAGAGAAAGGCACAAGGAGGCCGCATAGAAGTCTCCTTACACACATGTTTAAACTAAGCTTTGAGAGGTGAGTGGTGGACTCACCAAGCCAGATGGGAGGGAGGAAGGGAATGGGCAGTTGAGCCTTGGGTGCAAATGAGCAGATGGAGGGGACTCTAAGCACGTGGTGCGTCAGGACAACTGTAAGCAGGTTCCTCGCAGCTGGGGTACAGGGAGGGGCTCAGTGAACAGTGAAGCGGGAGACGTAGGGAGGACAAGATCACGGCAGGCTTAATATAGCAAGCTGAGGAATCTGGGCTTCAGACCATGGGCAGTGGAGAACACTGATGGTCTGAGGGTACCAGGCACATGATCTTATTTTGTTTCAGAAATGTAACTCGGAAGAGGTGTAGGTTATGATCTGGGGAGAGACTGAGGGCAGGGGAAAGTTAGGAGCATGGCAAGGTGTGCAGTGCAGACGAATTGAGAATCTAGGCTTGGAGCCCTAGAGGAGGTAAAGGCCAGGTTGATGACTGGGAAATCCATACATGTGTAGTAGTCGCCCGTGACAATGGCAACTGTCAGGATGGCTTATTTGTTAGAAATGTTTGGGCCGCAAGAAAACATGACTAACAGTGGGGTTTTTTCCTCTCCAGTAAGGAGTCTGCAAATAGAGGGCCACTGGCATTGGCTGAGAATCACAACACTATCAGTGCTGGTGTTTCTGCTCTGGACATCGTGTAAACATTCAAGGCAAGAAGAAGGGGAAGAGGCAGCACAGGCAGTATTTATCTCTCTGTCCCAGTTCCTTTCCATCCCAACTGTCCACTGTCTTCTTGCCTTGATCAGGAAAAGAAAAGGAACAGAAAGCTCTGTGCATTACTGGGGACACCAGGAGGCAAGTAAAGCAGACGGCCACCCCTTGGCACTCACATGCAGGCTGAACTTGCCAGGGCTGTGTTGGTGCCTTGTTGATCCTGTGCTCTCCCTAGAAACTGAAAGTGCAAGAACAAGAGGCGTGTGTGTGCGGGAGTGTTTTTGAGAGGGGCCTCTCCCCCAGTTTAAGCAACAGAAGCTGTAAGCAAAGAGGCAGAGTCAACTTCCTCGGGGAACTTTATTAGAAGGGCAAAGTGACAGACTAGCAATGGCCACCATTGAACACTTTCCTTTGCCGAGTGTCAGGCGACACAGGAAATAGTTTACATACTTATACTCAGCTAGTCTCAGACTTGAGGTAGATAGCATCACCTCATCTTGAATAAGAAAAATTGAAGCTCTGGGTGTTTCCCTTGCCCAAGACAGGACAGCTAGCAAGTGACAAGCCAGGAATCCAGCAGGGCCAGATCAACTCCGAGTCTGCCTGTGTGGTCAGCTGCCCTGGTGCTACTGGGTGCAATCATGGCCCAGAAGAACCAGAATCCAAAAGTTCATCATGAACTGAAGCTTTAATGGTGGGGAAGATACCGTGAACCAGGCCTGACAGTCTCCTTCATCTTAGCATCCTGTGCTCACAGCTCAACAGCAGGATAGGGGAAGCTCTCTGCACAGTTTAAGAGCAGAATACTTTTCTCTTTTCCTTTACCTGAATCATCTGAATGATTTTTCCAAGTGTGCCCTGACCAGCAGCTCCTTTTCATTTCCTGTGAACAAACATCGAGGGCCCCAATATGTGCTAAGTGCTGTCAGTCCACAGAGAGGAATCCTTGAATAACTCTCCTTGATTCCCACATCTGCTGTCCAATACCAGAGAATCATTCTGCTTGTTTTTCTGGTAAAGTCATGGCATTAACATTCGCTCCCAACAGGACCTCTATAACATTTGTATATACTTAAAACCAGTATAAATGTTGTATATAATTCAAGCCTGGAATTCTAAGTACTCTTCCTTAGAGAAAATTTTAAAAAGGGAGGAGATTTTTTTTTTTCTTTTCTTTTCTTTTCATGGATCCTGAGTGCATGGACAGAGCGCTTGGTGGGATTAAGGACACCAAAGGTTGAGCACAATAGCATTTGAGGATAAGAAGATGAAGGCGGCCAGGTCCCTGCCCTGGTGAAGTCTGGGCCCTCGTGCCATCTGCAGCTGCCTGCTCCTGGATTCTGCCTGGGCCGGAGGACATGGCTCAGGCACCCGGGCATTGCTCAAATCAATCGCTAAATAATAGCCCTTAAAAAATGACAGTTGAATGCCTTTTCAAAGGAGATTATGAAACCCATTTTGGCCGTCTTGAAGTAAAGGACATTTGCTTATCTCCAGATCAATTTCATTACGGCTCTTCTGGAGGTGGGCATGTGATTTAGCGACCTCATAAATTCCTCTCCTGGCTCCTGGATTCCATAATTCTGTTTCCTCTGCAGCGGATGAAAAGCAACTGGAGCAAACCCCTTGGCCTTCTTTGTACTTTCCTACGCTGTCATCTCCTTGGCTTTAGTGTGTACTGGTTGCCATGGAAATAGCAATGTCCTCGCTGTGGACAGAACTTAATCACAACCAAAAGGGTGAAATAAAGTACATTTTTATCTTGGATTGAAATTTGTATCATGATTCATGAAATGGAAGAGAGCAAGTAGAAGAAGAAAGCAGCGAGCTAAGCAGGAGAAGGGGAGGGGGAGAGCCAGGGAGGGGGAAGGCGGGAGGTGGGGGCTGAAAATGATACCCTGTGTGTCTGCCTGAAGAAACTGTCTGAGCAGAGCCTGTCGGTTGACACGCAGTGTGTCCCTTTCTCCGTGCCAGGCTGGGTCTGTTCCGGGTCTCACAGAGACCCTGCACAGCCAGAGCAGGGGCTGCCCGGGCGGCGGCTGAGAGCTGGATGTGATTTG